CCCAGGCAGGGGGTTCTGGGGAGAGGACAAGGACACACCATGCTGTGGGGCCGGCAGCCTCGCTTGCTCTCCCCTTCTCTATAAGGACACAACTGAATTTCACCGTCGCCATCGACTTCACGGCCTCCAACGGTGAGTGCAGCTGGTGTGGGGTGCACGGGGGGTCCCCATGGCCATGGGGCGGGTGCTGATGGGGGCTGTGCCGCAGGGATGCCATCACATCCCACCTCACTGCACTATGCGAGCCCCTACCAGCTGAGTGCCTATGCGCTGGCGCTGAAGGCGGTGGGAGAGATCATCCAGGACTATGACAGCGACAAGCTCTTCCCTGCCTATGGCTTCGGTGCCAAAATCCCACCCGATGGCAAGATCTCCCACCAGTTCCCATTGGTGAGACCTGGATCTCCCAGCTGTGGGGTGCCCATGGTGGGGAAGGGAAGCACCCTGGTTGCATCCTGCCCTGGCATCGGGGGACACCGGGAGTGGTGATCCCCTTCCAAGTGCCCATCCTTATCCTTCAGAACAACAACATGGAGAACCCGAGCTGTGCTGGCATTGAGGGCGTGCTGGAGTCCTACCTGCAGAGCCTGCGCACTGTCCAGCTCTATGGTCCCACCAACTTCGCCCCTGTCATCAACCAGGTTGCTGGGTGAGCACCAGGGGACTCTGTCCCCTTTGCTGTCCCCAAAAGCCACTTTGGTCCCCCAGTGCTGAAGGGACCCAACTCTTTGTCCCCCCGTAGGACGGCCGCCCAAGTGACTGATGGCTCGCAGTACCACGTCCTCCTCATCATCACTGATGGTGTCATCTCTGACATGCTGCAGACCAAGGAAGCCATCGTCACCGTGAGTGCACTCTCCTCACCTTGGGTAAACACTACACTGGTGCTACCCCTGTTGCCACCCTGCCTTTGCTCCACAGGCTTCTGCATTGCCCATGTCCATCATCATTGTGGGAGTGGGTCCGGCTGAGTTTGAGGGTGAGTTGGGGATAATGGGAAAGGGGATGGAAACACCATCCCTGGTTGCCACCCCACCGAGGCTCAATGACCCCAACCATCACCCCACAGCCATGGAGGAGCTGGATGGTGACGAGGTCCGGGTGTCTTCCCGTGGGCGCTATGCCGAGAGGGACATTGTACAGGTAACCCAGTCCCACCACATGAGGAAGATGCTGATGTTTCCAACCAGGCTACAAACCAACCTCTTTCCCTCCAAGTTTGTGCCATTTCGGGATTATGTGGACGACTCTGGGAACCAAGTGCTGAGCATGGCCCGTCTGGCCAAGGATGTGCTGGCTGAGATCCCCGAGCAGCTCCTGTCCTACATGAAGACCCGCGACATCAAGCCTCGCCGGGCAGACCCCCAGTAGCTCCTTCATGTGCCATATGGGGACCAGGACACGTGTCACCTCCTTCTGACGGTGGCCAGGGCTTAGCCATGGAGATGTGCCCCCGCAAGGGCGATAACCAGCTGGTGAATGGGGCTGAGACCCCCATCTTCTGGCCAGCGTGGGGCTGCGTGGCCCCGGCACAAAGCGGTGCCCCGGCGCAATGGGGCTGGCTCAGACTGCACCGTCCCTCAGCAGCACGGGCAGCACCGGTGCTGGGGC